AGAGTATAGTGGTGGAGCGGTCATTTCACCAATGAAGCCGGCATTGTCCTCGCGATCAAGCACCATTTCTTGGCATATTTCATATTTCTGCACAAACCTCCAAACGAAATCAGCCGGACGAACCAACGTCTTGAAATATGAGTTGAGCCCCTTGGACCTGCGTGTCGTGCTCGTGAACGGGAAGAAATTGTTTTTGAAGTACACTAGAGCCCACATGTGCCTTGTACGCCACATGTTCTTCAAGTGTTTGTTTTCAGCCACTTCAAAATAATGCAACATGTGCTGCCATGTTTCCTCAAATTCCTCGTCAGTTTCCGGTTGATTGTCACAAGTGTAAAACACATCTGCAAATGCCTCATTGCTGCTCGACAGCCTCCCCAACTTAGAACACGCGTTGCTAAACACATGGAACTTGCAACACCTATGACAGATGTTTGGGAACACCTGCTCAATAGTTGTTGCCATTGCTCGGTCCTGATCGGTCATTATGTTGGTTGGATGCTCGTTATCCATTGCAACCATTCACTGCTCAAACACGCACTTAAATGTTTCAATAGTCTTACCAGGCAACAAAGGCACATCCGAGAGCAATGGTTTGAAGGTGGTTGTTGACCCCGACTATAGGAGCAAAAGGCATGTTGTATCTATTGGTGTAGAAGGTTGTATCAAAGAATACATATTCTTTATATTTTGGGTACAATGCCCTTATTCTAACATCAACCCAAATAATGCAGCCACGGAGTTTGTGGCAAGATCTTTTTGCTTCGCAAAAGGAACTATGGATTCTCGGCCTTCCTCCTCTCAAAGTAATGGACTGTCATATCCATGTCTCGGAATGTTATCACTTGCCGGAGCTTTACATGTTCATTCGAAACATCTCTCCACATACTGGAGTATCTTGGTGTCATGTTCATGGACCCTACCAAGCACACCCATGCAATCTGAAGTTGATAGGTTGACATCATGCAACATCAGTAAGGGTTGGTAATCCTCAACGTGTATCTTGCCGTGCGAGCGGTAGTACCTAACATGCTCCGGTTGTTTCATCAGTGGATGTGTATGCTCCGCAACAAAGCAAGTCACTGTCCATCTCTCCTGCCTAAGCCCAACAATCATATGCACCTTACAATCATGACGTCGCATCTTGTTCTTATGACGTGTTCTTGTTACATCCATTCCAGTGCTAGGCTTCCTGTTGGAGTTGTTTTTTTCCGTTGCAATGCTCTATGAGGTGGTACTCATTTTCGCTTTATCAGGCTTTTTAGCATACATACACCTAAAGACCCTTCTTGATCAGTATTGCATCCTCTTTCTCCTAGCCCCTCTTCTGGTTGTACTTTGTAGAAAATATATGTGTCCCGAACCCCAACTTGAAGGCATAGTCACTATAGAATTTCCGGGCATCCTCAATTGTGTCAAACACCATGCCAACATAGGGCAGCAACGACTGTGATGAAACATCTTCATCAGCCGAATCATCTTGCATCACATCATCAACATGCAACAAACCATCTGAATCTTCACCACCATCAACAAAAATGTTTCCTTGGACACAACTCTCTTCCCCTTCAATCCCAGCTTCATGCAAATGATGCACATGATTTTTGTAAATAGAGTGTGTAAATAGAGTGTTGTGAAACGGTCATTTTTCATCTACATGGAATCAACAATTCTTATGTTGTTTAAAAAATCCAGGTGCACAGCTTCTGTCATGTTTCAGGGACAATCAAAATATTTTTCTGGTGCACAGATATATTAGACACATATTTTTCACTCACCGTGGCATACACAATCAAAATGGTATCAGAGGCATTTGTCACATGAGTGATTTATTTTGCTTTTTTTATCAAATAGGTTGACAAACAACAAGTAGCAATCATCTCATAATGCAACTAAAAAATAGAGGGGATCATGTTTCAGAGACACATGAAACAGATAGGGGGGAGGGGCACATGAAAACAAAATGAATTCTAGCTCCTTGTTTGCACAGCACACATAGGGCTTCATGTGTTTTAGAGACACACATGTGTGCATGTTCTAGAGTCGGAAACTCACCCAGCTCCCCTGATGCGATCTGGTCGAAGGAGTTTTAGGAAACACAACCGTGGAAGCGGGAAGGGGGGAGGGGGGTGAACCAGGATGAGACTCCAGCTCGCGGCGGAAGCCCCCCATCGGCGGTCGGAGTTGAGAAGGATTGCCGTGACTGTTCTCGAAGCAAGGCCCCTATGTGAGGTCGATCTATGCCGGGCCCAATCATCTGTCCGCGATATGGTGCGCCATGACGTTGCAGAGAGGCGCCTGGAAGAACTACTTGTTCCCGCGCGCCGGCGCAACTGGTTTTGTGGAGGTTGGGGGCGGCGCCGCGCTGGGCGCAGCTCGGTTGGGACGGTCGGCAGGGGCTCTGTTTTTAAAACAGAGCTGTTGTTGCGGGAAGTAAAGAGGGGTCAGTTGGGATGCGATTGTTACATCCGACGACTGTTAGCACGCTGATCCAACGAAGGTCCATGCGGCGGATGGTTCTAACACATCTGCCAGCCGACCGCGTAGCGCCACCCATATCTTTACCTGATAACCATTGGGATAACCTGATTACTGTGTCACAAGCTTGGTATTTCTATTTGTGCAAATTTTGTAGTTATTTCAGTGTTTTGCATGATGCATAAGTTTTTTCACAACAGAAAGAAGTGGATGTACAACTTGATTCTGCTTCATTATTTAGTACCAGTTGACTTTGTAAATCCCAGTTTCTTCAGTATTGTAACTATCAAATCGTCAAGTTAACCTGATTTTTCTCTTTGGACAGCTTGCAATTTGTAATATTATGATTTTTCTTTTGCAGAAACCACTTCAACTAGCCCAGGATTGTGTCTATTAGTCCTCCAGTATTTGTTGAGATGAGATAACACATTGTATGACAGGTAACAAGCAAGTGAAGCAAGAAGATTTTTTAAATTCTTTGGAAAGTATAACCACCTTAACCCAGGATGCATGATGAAGGATCCAATATGTCAGGACCAACGAGGGAATTGCAGTATGTCAGAACCAATGAGAGAATTGTAGAGCTTCATATTAAGTTTATTTTAGCTGCTTGCCCGCTTCAAGTGTCTAGATTACAGGAAACATGTTTCTTTAAGTGACAAACTTGGATACCAATTTATTCAAACTATTATATTTCTTGTAGAAGTAATGCAATATATTCTCTCTCTTGTGCCTATTTGAAATACCGTTGTGGGTCTGTGCTTTGCATCTCATATTGCAAGGATAACACATTGTATGCATACTCTCTCTCTTAACTGTAGCAAGGATGGAGAAGGAAAGAGTTACGAACCTTCTAACATGGATATTGTACATGTATGAGCTACGGGTCACTATTGTTTATCATATGGATTGTAGATGTAGCAACACTGAAATTTATAACATATCCTCAAATCTCTTCATTTTAGCATTTATGATATACTAGAGCCAGCAAAAAATAGAATAAAAAGGTTCATTAAAGAAATATTATAATTGACAACTGAATGTCAAATGGCGGTGATTTTATATCTATGTGTGGGAGCTTGATGAAAGATTACATGCAGAGTATAGAAGTGAAAACCATCATTTTTCTATATGAGCTATTACTAGAGGAGATATATATTTCTAGCTAAAGTTAACATTGCTAAAATATTCCACGGGGTGGCAACTCTGGGGCAAGAAGCATACATGTAAGCCTATTCGGAAATGTCTAGAAATGTTGAAGCTTCAGCACCGCGCTCTAGCTTTCGTGGAACTTCCACACCGTTTGGGTTGTGATGGTCAGCTTCTGTCAGTTGAGGGGTTCGTCATGAACATAGCATAGGCCGACGATGAGGAGGTAGTCTATACCAGGGAAGATGGCGGTGTCGGGGTTTCGGAAATGTCTAGAAATGTTGACGCTTCAGTGCCACGCTCCAGCTTCTGGGGAAGGGCCACACCGTTTGGGACGTGATGGTCAGCTTTTGTTGGTTGAGGGGTTCATCATGAACATATCATAGGCCGACGATGGGGATGTTGAGGAGGTTATCTATACCGGGGAAGATGGCGATGTTGGGGAGGAGGCCAATGGTGTGGAAGATTGAGACGGGATGGAGGAAGTCGACGGCAGGCAATGGCGGGGCAGCAGATGAATAGAATGAGCTGGAGGGATGGCGGTCGGCCCTGGCGGGCTCGTGAGAAGGGAACAATGGTGATGTCATGGCTAGCGCTTTGACCAGGTTCGTTTCGCAACTAAGTGTTACACAACTTGGTGATGGCATTGTCGTCGAAAATATATTAAGTTATGTGATTTCGACTTCCTACGATCCGCGTAGTTGGCGAAGCATGGAGTTGAAGGACATCCGAACAATACCTAAACTAAAAATCTGCTCCATACCAAATTGAAACAAGACTGATTGATGCGCCTATCCTATCAATGATTGAATAATTTTTGTGTCACCTCATGATACTATCCATGCATTATAATGGTTGAATAATATTTTATTGGTTTTAGTGTCATCTCATGATACTATCCATGCATTCCATCCTCAAGAAGTTATCCATGTAACTTAATCATTGTTTGATTCGTTCAACTGCATTGTCACCCGTGGCAACGCACGGGCACGTTTACTAGTAATTTGTAAAAAGAATTTAAAAAGTTGACCCTTCAATGTACAGAAGTATGGAATGAAAAAACCAGCTGATTTTTTCCGGCTTATTTGCCAGCACCGTCGCTTATCGTTCTTAACTACCACCCGTCCCGTCAAAGAAAAGAAAAAAACACCTCCCGTAATCCCATCTCTCCCCTCGTTTCCCCGTCGCACGCGACCTCAGAGGCGATGCGGCGGTGTTAGGGTTTGTGCCGCCGCCCCGTCCGCTCCCCCTCCGTTGCCGGCCACAGGCAATATCACGCCGCCGCCTGATTTCTTATCTCCCTCGCCCCCCAGCCCCCCACGCACACACCCTCCACGCCTCGTCCGCGACCCCTCGGCGACGGCGGCAGGAGGTCACCTCTGCTTCTTCACGACGACCTCCGGAAGCTGCCCGCCAGCCGGCCCCTCCAGCAACCTCCCATCCGCGCCGGTTCCACCTCTCCCGAGCAAGGTATGGACCCATTACTTCTGATAAATGCCTGAAATCTGCCGAGTCTGTATCAATTTGGTGGCAGATTCGGTTTTCTTTATAGTGTGTAATGATTAATTTGGAATGCAATAGATGGACAAGGCAAATTGGATGTCCTACTAATAAGGTTTTTATATGAGATATACTGTAAAAACAGAGTTTTTTCCTGAGGCATGCAAAAGAGTCAGGGAATAAGATTAGGCCATTAGGATTGTCGGATCAGATCGAAACCAGACATACTGTAAAAAAAGGTTTGTAAGTATAAAATTGAGAGTTTTGCAGGTTCCCACAGTTGCATAAAAAAATATGCAGCTTTGCGTTGCGTTACTTTAGATAATTGTCTTACTTTTGTGTTAGGGTGGAGTCTGGAGCGGGATAGTTCATGTTTGAACTTATTAGCTTTATAATCTAGTTTAATCCCTTCTGCACATGTCAGTTAGGTGGTCAAATTTTGCTCCTGTATTGAGTTCCAACATTCAGTAAAGCTACTAACTACTTGTGCTTTGATCGGTAGCTGGGAAAACACCTTGAGAACACAACACACTTGTAAACTGAACTCTCCAGTAGGTTTCACGTTGGGTTACCTACTCTAACTATGAAGATACCTTTCCTCTACCATTGTCTGCTTGTAACAAGTTTGTCAAAGGATTTGATATTTGGCTTTCATGATCATCAGAAAAATCTGAACCGTGATTATTGCCTTTTGTTACGTCTCGTATTTGGCAGGAGCACACTTTGTGTTGCAGTATTTATTGCTTTTTAAGTTGATTTTACCGATCATGAATTGTAATGAACTTAATATTGGAAATATGGGTTATTTTATTGTACAAAAAATTGATTTATGGGGTGATTAAGGCCCCACTCCATAGCCCTCCAGCTCCCAACTCTGCGGACGGAGCACATGGACTGCCCCGAACGATATAACTCTGTGAGCTGAATTGGTATATCTGGGCTAGGCGTATGCAAATTTCTGGAGCGAGGGATTCCAGGATTCCAGATCTAGCCAAACGATGAGTTGCTCAGAATTACCCGCAAATACCACCGGACTCAGCTGACCTGGATGGAAAAAATCGCCTCAACCCATCTCCTCTTGCACATAGCGACCTAAGCCTAGCGCTGACACACCGCCATCGCCGCCAGCATCTCCCGCCAATGCCCTGAGCCCCTGACGCAAGCCAAGTTTTGGTGCCTTCACGTGGTCCTCCTGGCCCTGACTCATCGCTGTAATTAAGAAACCCCTTCCGTTCGTTATATTCCACATGTCACAAATTTGTTTGAATTACTGGGCTTCCATGAAGGACAGGACAAGCAGTTAATCAAAGCTGTATGGATTCATTGTTATTATATAGCACCCATCCTTTGCACGTATTGGGAATATAGTTTGATGCCTTTAGCTCCTCGCAACTTACTGTATGTTAAATTTCAAAATATGTATGCAGTTTGCTACGTGCATAGCTGCACCTTCCATCCCGTTTATGTATGCTTATATGGTACTAAGTTTGCAATGGTGACATTATATCTCTCTCTTTGCCAGGTTTTTTTGTAAGAAAAGAAGAAAATCATAGATGGATATCATGCAGACTAGTGATTCTTCACATCATGGAATTGTAGAGAACAGCCCTTATACAACTCCCTATGATAGACGTGTGGAAGGTGATCAACTTGGTGCTTCGTGGTATTTTAGTAGAAAAGAAATAGAAGAGAATTCCCTTTCAAGGAGAGATGGTATTGATTTAAAGAAGGAGTCTTACCTTCGCAAGTCATACTGCACTTTCCTTCAGGATTTCGGGATGAGGCTTAAAGTGTAAGAATATATTGTACCATGGGTATTTTATTGTTACATCTTTTACTGAGTAATATACCTGATGTTTTAGCAGTATTATTTGAATCTTGAAAGTTCTTTTCAAGTTTCTGCAGATAACTGGATGTTTTCCTATAGCTTAATTTCATTCAAGCAGTTTTTGTTTCTTTCTCATTTCCCGTTAAGAATATCTGAGATACTTTATGATTGGTGTTACCCTCATTTTATTTTCAAAACCTGAGGAAAGTACACTGCGCACTTAAAGCATAAATGATTGCATTTTTTATGACAGTTCTTGTATGTACTGTGCATGACTATGTTCTATAACCTTTATGGACAGATTGTCAGGGCCTGTTTAGCTGGAAGCCAAACCCTGACACACTTTGCCTGTTTGACCTAGTTAGGCAAGTGTCTGACATGCTCAGACACTCTTAGGCTGCGAATCAACATACATTTAATGATAATATTTGATGGGAGGAATAGCTAAAGCATACACTGTGAGGTATGTTTGTTAAAAACATAAGATGTTAGGGATGCAGATGTTATTCAGAAGATCACACAAGCATCACCTCTGGTGATCGAGGGAACATGACGCATAGGTTTAAAATAAACATAGTGTCCTTACATGATAGGTTGCCAAGCATGCTGAGTGCTCAAGTGCTAGTTTAATCATTTCCCCATCCAGAAAAACTTGTCTGCTTTTTCCTGGCATTTTACTTGACTATATGGACTAAATGTTTTTATTTAATCATGCGATATATGTACTATGTTAGATATTTGATAATTATCTGATCGTTGACCTGTCCAGTTTTTCTTCTGCCTAAGCATTTTTGAGCATTTATGTGCACTCCATGCTTGTTAGCTTTGTATCTTAACTTTATTTCTGTGACAACATTCAGAGATAATTTAGCACTATTTGATGTGAATAATTTGATGGTAAAGCTCTCAATTATCAAGCCATGTTTAATTTGTTCAGCTGAGATATTTGCTAGCACATGCTTGTTAATATGATATTTATGTTTGAAAGTTGCTAGATATGCCTGTGATGACACTACTATTCAGGTTTTACCTTTAAAAATGTCTTCTTCATCAGCACATGGCATTTTAGGAATAAGTTATTAACATATTGTTACTCAGTTTTTCCCTTAAAAAAGGGTTGATGTTTTCTTCATCAGCACACGGCATTTTAAGGAATAAGTTCTTAACATATAGTCCCTTTATATTCTTTGATTTTTTTACTATAGAGAATTCGTAACATATTGGCCCTTACCCCAGTGTTATGTTCATTGATTTGTTACATTTAGCCCACTTGTTTTTATCGGGCATGGAACAATGGCTGATGACATCCTTGTCTAGGTAGAACAGTAAATATTCAACCGTATTTAGTGTTTTATAGCCCTTTATGTGCCCTTAGAACATTTGCTCCATGAATGTTTATGAAGCAGTAAAGACCCCGTTGTATTACTGCATGAATTGTGCTCTCTTGGGTTGGTTGATAGTTGTTTATGGTATTTTCTTTCCTTATTGATGAATTACTTCATTATGTAGGCCCCAAGTAACAATTGCTACAGCTATAGTATTTTGTCATCGTTTTTTCCTTCGTCAATCTCATGCCAAAAATGACAGACAGGTAAGCCTTGCTGAAATTTTTATGAGCTTATATGTCTGTTATCAAACAACATATTTTCTACTTTATCTGTAAATCGTTTTCTATGCATGGTAAGCAGTATACTAACATGTATTCAAACATTGATGCTCGCCACCCATATTGTGAAAGAGAAGAATAAATGATTTGTTGTCGCCTTAGAACATGTATCTTATTGGATTCCATGATATGGTAAATTTTGTTTGGCTCTGTAGGAAAGACATGCAGGCTAACACTATAGTGCATCTTTGATTCAAATGATTTCTTAATGAATTTTAGACGATTCTAATCCTTAGGATTGTGTCTACATGGGTCGTTTGATTTGTAGGATTGCAATCTACATAAATTCTCCCTTGATCCATTTGCATTAGATTTCGAAGGAAAATTTACATCTACTCCAACCTCTTGTTAAGAATCCTACGCTTTTGGGGTATTGAAGAAGACATGACACTCTATTGCTGTGTTTTTCTTATTCCTTTGCTTTAGAAATCCTGTGAATCAAAGCGGCCCTAAGTATTTTTTTTCTTGGATAGCGTACAATATAGAGCATGCTGCTTGCAATATGTTATTTTTTAGGGGTGGTATTTTTCTTATACTCAACTTCATGTTGCAAATTGTCGTCAATGTAAGTTCATTATAATCTGCAGACAATAGCCACAGTTTGCATGTTCTTGGCGGGTAAAGTTGAAGAAACACCTAGACCCCTGAAGGATGTCGTACTCATCTCTTATGAGATCATCCACAAAAAGGATCCTGCTGCAGTCGCCCGAATTAAGCAGAAGGTGAGATTATTTTTGTGAGCATTTTCTTGATAGCACACATAATCTTTTTTATACTTGTTCTCCCTCACAACATAAAGCTGCAACTCTTCTATAGCTGGTGCATTTTTATTTCCTGAGTACTGTGACAAGAACGGTTTGTGTTGTTGTGTGTAGGAAGTGTATGAACAACAGAAGGAACTTCTTTTGATCGGGGAGCGCCTTGTGCTTGTAACACTTGGTTTTGACATGAATGTGCACCACCCTTACAAGCCTTTGGTTGAAGCAATAAAAAAATTCAAGGTTGCTCAAAATGCACTTGCTCAAGTTGCCTGGAATTTTGTCAATGATGGGTATGCTGAAATTACCCTTATCCTTACAAAAATAGTAATCCCCCATTATGCCTATTTACTATACCTTAAAAGGGGTGTACAGGCTACGCACTTCACTTTGCCTGCAATTTAAGCCCCATCATATTGCTGCCGGCGCAATCTTCCTTGCTGCAAAGTTCCTCAAAGTCAAGCTTCCAGCAGACGGGGAAAAGGTCTGGTGGCAAGAGTTTGATGTAACTCCACGTCAGTTGGAAGGTTGGTCCCTAGATACATAGTCAGTATTGCATATTTGCACAATTTTACTATGCATTATTGTAAGGATAGTAGTTTAAATGCCTTTGAAAGCAAGCAGCAATTGTTCCCATGCTTTAGGCTCTTATGAGATTGGATGGCCAAAATTTCATCACCATCTTAATCTTAGTTCAGCAATGATACTGGAACTAGGTTGGTTAGGTCAGAGACACAAGGTGTTTCGTGAGGTGCACAGAGTACTCCCTCCTTTTCATAATTCGAGCAAGCTTGTCTTAGTTTTTTTTACTTCCTTTTCACATTACAGCGCGTATTAGGAAATCGAGGCGCAGCAAGCCAATGCACGCAAGATTATATTGTGCCCTAGTTATTGAACATCTAAGTAACTCAATCAAACATAAAAAGAAAACAACAGCAACAACAACAACAAAGCCTTAGATGTACAATACTTACACGTATCACACGAATCTCCACGTAAGATCAATGGGATAGGACTTAGATGTGCAATACTTATGGTACATCTAGATGTGCTTTGGCAAAACTGATATACATATCACAAGAGGTTCCATGAGCAAATACATTAAGCCTAATAAACAACCCCCCTTAACTCCTTGGTATGCGAGTTGTTGACTTGTTGTTAAGATGTGCTCCTTTTCTAAACGGAGTATTATTGTTCTGGGATACGAATGCACAAAGGAATGCCATGACACGAACACATTGTTATGAACTTGTATTTGGTAGCCTTATTTATGGAACTTGAGGTATTTTTGTTGGTGTTGAGTGTTGACTTGGAGGACAACTTTTCTGGTAGCCCTTGCCTGTTGTCATTTCTGTTATACAGAAAATTTGCTTAGTAGCATCACAATGAGGTATAGTTTGGAAGTTATCATCTAACATGTGGATGGCATGTGGGACCTGGGACCACACTAAGCAGCAGACTGTATTTTTCAGCTTGGTGATTTTGCAACGGTACTGAGCAGTATTGCCCGTTATTATATATATCTATTTTTATAGAGCTGATGCTCCTTTTACTCCATTTCTGTCATGGTGATGGTTTTTATGCTCTTTGTTGTGAAGTAAGATGCATACCAAAGAACCATTCTTATATTTTTTGTGACATTTGTTTTCAGAGGTTAGCAACCAAATGTTGGAGCTCTACGAGCAGAACCGTGTTGGACCACCACCTTCACAAGGGAATGACACCGAAGGCAGCTCTGCAAGTGTGGTTAATCAGCGTGCTCCTGTGAAATCTGAGGAGCCTCCTGCCCATGAAACTCATCAAGCACCTAGACAGTCGAGCGTACCAGGCCGTCATGGGCATGACCACCCTCAGCCTGAAAAGCAGAACTCAAACCAGAGGATACCCAAGAGTGAAGCAAGGGATGGCACTACCAACAGCAATGAAGGCACAAATATGTCCTCATCAATGATGGATGCGATGAAAAAGATAGATAAGGATAAGGTGAAAGCTGCGCTGGAGAAACGGAGGAAGTCGAAAGGCGATGCTGGTAGGAAAGTGGACGTCATGGATGATGATGACCTGATTGAGAGGGAGCTGGAACATGGCGTGGAGTTGGCTGCCGAGGACGAGAAAAAACACGACAGAAGGCAGAGCTGGCCCCACCCCGCGCACCGGGAGGATCACCAGAACACGGCTCGCAAGGCGGAGAACACCGAAGAGGGCGAGCTGTCCCTGGATGGCCAGGAATACCGCTCTCCTGGCCCCGACAACCGGAAGAGGAAGGACGCGCACGAGCACAGGAGCAATGACCGCAGCGCCGAGAGAGACATCAAGAGGCCGAGGCCATGAGATGAAGTATTCATTGTGGGGGGTGATCAGCGGTGACGGACTGAGAACTGGTGTTTTGAGCGCCAGTGCGTGATACCTAGTTTTTGCATCGCGGGAACATACAGGTGCTTGTTTGCCTATGTTGGGAGATTTGAAATGTACTGTACTGTAACTTGAAAAGATGAGGAGTATGTACATGTTCAGGTTATGGAACATTCGGCAGCAGTTTGGTGTTGAGGAACGATAGGAAAGAGGCTGCATGGCCTGCACCCGAAGGCTATATAAATAACCTTTTAAATACATGGATTCGAAGCAAATTTGGATTGGGACATTTATATGGATTTGAAACAAATTTGATTGGCACATTTCTATGCTGGTGCTGTGATCTGATGCTCCGTATTTTGGGTGTGCCATTGGTACTGTCAACCATCGTCAGTTCATTGGTGTGAGAAGCGAGTAATAATCGAGATGACCCAACTTTGTACTAAAGTTAGTACAAAATTGAGTCATCTATTTCAAATTTGTACTAAAGTTAGTACAAAATTGAGTTATCTATTTTAGAACGGAGGGAGTAAAAATTAAACGAGTAACCAAGCTATCGATTTGTTTCGGTACATTTTCATAACAACTCGACAGCCATAGGCGCAATACACAAAAATTGCCGCCTGAGCAACGAGCCATTCTTCGCGGGCGCATCAGGCGTGACGCACCCGCCGTCTCCGTACTACGAGCGCTCAGTCCAGACCGACTGGACGGAGCCAGCCGCCCAGGCCCCGGCGCCCCGCACGAACGCGACGGCCGCCTCGCACTCGGCGATCACCAGCTTGTCGGCCCCGGGCCTCGTGATCGGCGGGAAGAAGAGCCAGAAGGCCGTCACGAGCACGAACGCCAGCGTCAGCGGGGTGGCCACCAGCCGCGGCGGGCGCCACCACGCGTCGTGCCTCGCCCACCACGCCTCCGCCACCGCGCACGCGCCGTGCAGCGTGAAGAAGGCCGTCGCCTCCCCGGTGGGCGGCCGCAGCGTGATGTAGTAGAACATGAGCTCGTGCACCAGCCCGGACACCAGGAACGTCGCCAGCACCCCCGCGGCGGTGCCCAGGCGCGCGCGCACGGGGCGGTGCACGCACGGCCGGAGCACGGCGGGGACAGAGAGGTTCCAGCGCCGGCCCCAGAAGTCCCGCAGCGACGCCGACAGGTACGGCCGGTCGAACTGCGGCTCCAGATCCATGCCCAGCAGCGCGCGCGCCGCCGCGGCCGCCGACGCCAGGACCAGCTCCAGGGCCAGGTACACGTGGAACGCGTAGAGGGTGAGCAGGACGTACTGGTTCATCGCCTCCTGGTACCGGTACAGCGACACGATGACGGCGAGCAGCGCGGCCATGACGGCGGAGGAGGCGAGGTCCAGGCCCGACGACGTGCCTTGAGCCTTGTCGGGCCCGTCGCCGTGGAGCCTGACCGGGCCGGAGGCGACGGCGACGAATGCGGGGAACGGGAGGGACGGGTGGAGGGGCCCCTTGCCGGCGGCGAGGCGGAGGAGCTTGAACTCGGCGAGCCAGGCGAGGAAGAACCCAGAGATGGCGCGCGGGTGGATGGCGCTGAAGGCGAAGGGGAGGAACGGGAGGACGGCGAGCACCGGGAGGAACGCGGCGAGGCGGGGCAGGCCCGGGCGGAGGCGCCCGGCCGCGAAACGGACGTAGCACATGGCCGCGGTCACCGTGGCCGAGACCGCCGCCAGGCTGCGCAGGTCGCCGCCGGACATTCTTGATCGTCGTCGGCCCAGATGCGACGGCCACCGGAGGTTACCCGCGCTGCCTTCTGGTAGAGGTTTACAAGATCCAGGAGCGCGCGAGAGATCGGGAATTTCGTGGTGGTCTTCTTCGAGTCAACGGTGTAAGCTCAGTTGGGAGATGGAAGCACGATAATTGGCTCATTTTTATTTTCTTCTTTTGGCTGCCCCGCCGCTGTCATCATATTTTTTTTGAGGTGACGCTGTCATCATTTTATAATGTTGCGGTTTCGCCAGAACCAAACGTCCAAAGGGAAACATGCTAGTGGTAATATGCTAGCCCACCCAACAGCCCAAGTGGATTGAAACAAGAATGGGGCATAGCCAACCAACGACGTGATTGAAGCAGATGGTTGAGGCGATCAACAACTCCTCCTGGAGCCATTATCCCTCAATGGAGTTTTCTTGAGAGAGATTAAAGCTTTGTTTTGAATAGTTTGGATTGCTCACCACATGTGTCATGTGGTGAGAGATCAAAGCTTTAGCCCTTTTGAATGGATGGAATGAGGATTTCTAGTTAAGGAGAAAACACAGCGCAAGTGCATCTCATTGCCAGGGCCCCACGGGTTGTACGGTGAATTGCTGATTCGCCCCCAAATTCAAACGCCCATACAGAGGAGTGAAGCCTGAACGCTAGTGGTAGTGGATTATGTCCGCTTGCAAAACTTGTACACGGCAAACACCAAAATAAACATAGATCATCGAGCAAACAAAAGCGCCAAGTTCACCTTTACACGCTGCACGCATGGGTTTATTTATTGTAACACCAACAGTCAGGCAGGCAGATGGTGTGTCCTTTATGATGCTAATGGCGATGCTTAGCTAGCTGCAATGGCGGGCGGAGACTGGGGCAGTGCTCCATGACCTTGAGGCTCAGCCATAGCAGCGGATGGGGTCGGAGCAGCGCTTCTTGGCGGACTGGCCGCCCTTCTCCAGGTACTGCTGGTGGTAGTCCTCGGCCGGGTAGAACCTCCTCGCCGGGAGGACCTCCGTCACGATCTTCTCCTTCCACTCTCGCTGCTTCTCTGCCAGCGACTCCCGCGCCTGCCGCTCCTGCTCCGCCGTGTAGTAGTAGATGCCCGACCGGTACTGCGTCCCGACGTCGTTGCCCTGAAGTGCAACGACAAATTGGTTTGTAAACCATGTGCGGAGGCCAAATGCTGCTAACATGCAGTAAAACCATAGCAAAACGGGGAGACACTGAAGATTTGTTATGTCAGATCAACAACTTGAGGGAACTCTCAGAATTTGTGCATATCGTGAGAAAAGTTTATGAAAGGAGACAGTAATGTTGACAGTGCATCGGAAATCTCAGAGGACCATGGATCGATCACATTAAAAAGTGTATACGTTGAAGTGTGTAGTGAATTTTCCTATCCGCCGAGGCAATACAATGATCCTTTTAGCTATTTCAAAATATTGACTACATACATATTCAAATGAATGAACATACCTACTAAAATATGTCGAGTCTAGATACAAACGAATCAAGAAAAGGCTTAAAAGGCCTTATATACTCTTTGACCACAAGAATCCCCTTTGAGATTGAAATCGTCTACTTTATCTTAAATAAAAGTATTTCGTTCCGAAGAAGAGAGAATATTCGCTCCTCTGTATTAACGAGCCAGATAACTACGCGAACCAACTAATCACTGAGAATAAGTCAACCCTCAACCCCGTGCCAGGTCCATTGAACCATGCGACACCGGCGACGAGATCTGCACCCGAAGTTCCCAACGGCGGCCGCCGGCTTGGCCGGCACACTATGCGCTCCAACTTACGGCAAGAGCAGCGGTAGAGTGATCGCATCACGTACTCCTACCTGCTTGTATTTTTTATTTTTTTGCGGTGAACACGTACCTGCTTGTTGAGCGTGGTGGGGTTGTGCTTGGCCCAGAAGACGTCGAGGAGCACGGCGTAGGGGCACTCCTTGGGGTCGTAGTGCACGCGCACCACCTCGGCGTGGCCGGTGCCGCCGCCGCAGACGTCGCGGTAGGTCGGCCCGTCCAGGTGCCCCTGCGAGTAGCCCACCTCCGTGCGCGCCACGCCGGGGAGCCGCTGGTACGCCAGCTCCACGCTCCAGAAGCAGCCCGCCCCGAACTGCGCCAGCTCCAGCCCCTCGCCGGCCGCCGCGTCGGCGTCCGGGCCCGCCGCGCCGGTGCTCGACATCCTGTTGCCCGTGGTGGGTGGACTTTTCTAGGATCGGTTTGATCGGTTGAGGGGGCGGGCGCGCGGTGGTCGATCGGGTCTGGAACTCTGGATGTCCAGGTTTCGTAATAAGGCCTGTCGAATTGAATTTTGTGACGTGGGCGTGTGGCCACTTGCGCCGTGCGAATCCGTGGTTCAATGCAGTCCACGATTCCCACCGCATTGTTCACACATTTATGGCTTGGCTTCGTAATTTCGGGTCAATTCAGTACTAAGGTTTACATGGTCGTGAACATGTATACAACTGCAGCTCGACGGGAATGAAGATAAGGAGGAGAAACTCCAATTGAATGAGAAATGCTGCTACATCATTTTAGGGATTCCATGTGGTTAGAGAGATCAAATCGCGTCCCTTATCATTTTAGGGATTAAAATTTCATTTGCTAGGAGAAGCGCCGATGAAGCTGTTCATACATGTGGGAGGGCGGCACTAGACCTATGGACTCACATCCCATGTTCTTTACGTAATCCCTAATTATTTGATTGCTTCTATGCAATGCAATTGGACATGTATCTGCCTAATAATCAGTAAAAGGACCCCAATATGCATCAAACATCAAATTTGAAGGGGCCCGTGAGAGAATGAAAACCTTTACTACACAAATACCCCCAGCCCCCGAGCGCGGTCCGCAAACCCTATTCGGCGTCTTCAGCGCCCATTACTTCAGCTTTCGCAAATGGATGCACACACCCCTCGGCACGGGCCTACCCCATTTACCCTTTTGCATGTAACTGTAAAAAACGCAAACGGGGCACACCCCCCCCCCCTCTCTTCCACGCTGGGCTGGCCCGTTTATCCCTTTTCTGTTTAAACTGCAAAAAATTGTGCGCAGGTGTGATTCAAACCAGCGGTCTCCTCATTTAGTGTTAGCTACTATGGCCAACCAGACACTCTCCTGATGTGATTTGTTACATCCGTTTCCCTCTTTTCTTCTTTCTATTTTTTCTTGTTTCTTTTTTCAAAATGGGCGAACATTTTTTTAACAAAATCAATAAAAATTTTCATACCATGATTTGTTTTTTCAAAATCTGGTGAACTCTATACAAATTTGTGAACTTTTTTTGAAAATCTGAGATTTTTTTTTCAAAATCAATGAACCTTTTTCAAATTAAAATAGTTTTTCGACAAAAATTGATAAACCAAATCCGTGAACCTTCTTACAAAATCCAATGAACTTTTTTTCAAATTTGTGGACTTTTTCTATCAAAAATGATGACCTTTTGTCATATTTATGTTTTTTTAAATATCTGGTGAACTTTTTTCAAATTCATGAACTTCTTTTTTAAATTGATGAATATTTTTATATTTTGTGAACCTTTTTTTAAAATCCATGAACTTTTTTAAAATTTGTGAATTCCTTTTCGAAATTAAGTTTCCTATTTTCAAATAATTTATACTGGGACTGAAACAAGACTCAAATATCACTATTTTCGGATAAAAACATCAAATTAATCGCCATGTTGTGGTTATTGCGTCAAGTCCATCGACGTTGGCATGCGGGTTTTAATCCCACGCCTCACGGAATAATAACGGTGAGTATATTTCTTTCCGTTTGTTTTTGAGCATGTTGTTGGCCGCTAGCGATGCTGGGTCGGCCCACTACCACTCGCCTTCGAGCGCCAACTAGCCTAAGCGGCGCCGAGGGCGCCAAAGAGGAGGTCTCAACGCGAAATGACCGGGTTGCATACGAGCCGATCTGCACCCTTCTCTACTGGTCCTTTTTTGTCTTCGGCCTAGCCCAACTATAAGCTTACTTATGGCCCTTGCCAGCTATAATTTGCCCTTAATAAAACAAAAAATTTAACTCAAAAAACATAAAAGTTACCATCAGAAAAAGGGAAGAGAAAATGTGTGCATAATTCATGAAGCACAAAATAACAAAAAAGCATGAAAAAGTACATCACTTAAACAATAAACAAAGATTTTTCATCCTTTCTTGGGAATATAAAATTGCCATGATGTAAAATATATGAAAATTGCCATGTTCCACATGCTAAACCCACCACACAAAAGAAGAACCTGCATGGCATTGCCATTGCTCACTACAATAGAAAATACCTAGATGGACAATTTGAATGGTAAATATTAAAAAAAAGTGTAAACATACAGGAAATTGCAACGGTCCAATGAAATAACGTTGGAAACTGGAAGTTGGCCATAGTCCATTGCAAATGGTAAGGGAAAATTATGTAAAAAACATGATAAATTTTGGGAAATGTTTGTGCTGGTCTCATGACAAATCTAGAGAAATTATGTTTTGTAAAAAAGGCATGGCAAATTTGCATGGTCCGATATGAAAAAAAGAAATTACCTACATGCAAAATATCTACAAATGTAAATTAAGTTGTCATGGCAATTTAATTTAAGTTACCATGGCAAACAATCAACATCTAGTTGCCAACCCCCTTACGATGTTCCTTGATAAACAAAACTTAAATTAAGTGAGAAACACAAAAATTGCCAGCACTGAGAAAAGCCATATTAAGACTGATAGATTTACTACCACTTGAAATGAGTGGTTAGCTATTTCAAAAACAATCAACAAAAAAAGAAATGGTAGATTTACCATGATGTAATGCAATATTTTGCCATGCTGATTATATAAAAAATTCCATGTAAAAACTACTAGATTCGTCATGATGAGAAAAAAAATAGATGACATGCCAAAAATTTTGCCAAGCTATGGATAATGAAACTACCATGATGTAAATAGTATAATTGCCATGAAAAGAGTGCATACATTTTGTAGGGGGCGAAGAAAAAA